ACACACACACACACACACAAGTGTTGGTGAATTAGCTTGTAAGTCAAGGGCATCTCTCGAAAGCTGTCAGCCGGACCGGAGGCAACTATCAGGTATCAGGTGATGAGCCACCAAAACCCGCTTAAATGGCCACAATGCGCGTGTGGAGCCGTTTATCGCATCTGGTTCAGTTGCGAGCAACGTGGCTACGCACTGGAAACGGGAAGACTGTCGAAAGTCGTGCGGTCGACAAGATAAAGATTCCCAATCAAAAGTCAGGGAAGACGGTTTGAGTTGGACAACCTTTACTGCCTGAGAAAGTGCGTACACAAGGGCTCTGTAGGCAGTCGCCGCGAGCGCGCTCCAAGCAAGCTGTTGTCTGTGCCCGCCTTCGAGGTGTTGGTGTTGTCATTGTCTCCACGTCCGCCAGCCAATCAGAGTGGGGACAGCGTTGATTGGCTTCGAGCACTCGCGCATCCCAGCAGCGCATCGACAAGGAGTGTGAGGCGGACAGGAGGGCAGCGTGACAAAGGCGGAGAGCGAGGAGACGCGAACTGCCACAAGACTACTGTTAACCCGAATAACGGAACAGGGGTTTGCATTTGAAAGGAAAGATACCAGCGCTAAAATCATGGCCCCGTTAATAGGACCTGACTACACCTTTAAGTTCGACGACAGGCACATGAGCTGCTTGCGTTCTGGTTCTTCTGCCCATCAATAAGCGCTACGACATTCTCACTTACTCACCGATGAGACACCATCTGCACAGCCTAATTAGTCACGTGGGTAATGAGCGCGCGAATGAACATTACGTTCAGTGACACCACCGATGAGTAAGATTTCGAAATCACTTTTGTGCTTCACTGGCACCTGTAATGAAGCCACAACGATCGACGTGTCGTAGTCGTGCAGCCCTTACATCCCTAATACAGCTATCTTCAATAAATACGGAAGCTGCCAATGTTACTGGATGTGTATCTGCGTAGTGGCCCTGTGTGAGTCTGCAACTGTTGTTTGTTGTAATCTTCGGTGTTGGGTTTGAGGGAGTGAGAGTATCCGAATCACCGACTGAATAAATGCCCTGTTTCAGAAATTGGGCCTCCTTCGTCTGAAAGTCACCAACATGTGTGGAAGTAGTCCAAACGAAGATATAGCCCAATTTATTCGCCAAACATTCGAAACCAGTAGAAAGGGGACTTAGCATTCGTCTGTCGAAAGAACGGAACCATTTTATCCACTGGCATAACTCCAACTTGTGTGACATCCGAAACTGAATTTATGGTATGGGTGACTGACAATGTTTAACATTTAGAACCAACCGTCTATTTGACAGACACATTTCAGCACTCATCGTCGGCTGACAAGACTCCTTTTTAACCTTCGGTCGGAAGTTTACGAGCCAATACTGAATGACAGAGTAATATATTTCTAATTGCTGCGCTACACAGAAAATCAAACAGGGCGTGATGTGATTTCCAGATTCTGACAGTTCTCCTACAAATAGATGATTCCAGTCCCCTTATCTCGGTCATTTGCTGTCGTCATGTTTGCCGGTAACCTCCTCCCTGATGGGACGACCAACCACCACCACCACCACCACCACCACCACCACCACCACCACCACCACCACCACCACCACCACCACCACCACCTCCCCTAATATCGCACCCATCAGCTGTCGATAAGCAATCCTAGCGGTGTAAATGGACGAGCATCAATCAGACCATGGTGGACCAGTTGGTGAAACTAGGGTCCTGTCGATCTTATTGTTCATTAGAGAATTGGACAGTGAATAACAGTCCCAGGCGTTTGAAGCGTCGGCGATATAATACAACTGGTTCAAATTATCCTATCTCCCTGTGAGACAAAGTAATTTTCTCAGACGCTTTGGCCAGCGAAATACACGGCATTTCACACCATTTCATACACCAACTGTAGCGTGTGTGTTTTACCCCTGAAAGGGGCCGCGCGGTATTTGCGTTGGGCGAACAGAGGGGCAAGATGGGAGTCCGGCAAGCGCTATCGGGTACGTCCACCCATAAGAAATGCCAACATTGAGGTGTGTTGGCACCCCCAGTTGTCATCCTAATCCGCGCCAATTGCGATCCCTGCCGCCCCCCGGATGTTGTTTTAGGTAAAATACTGGACCTGGATGCACCTTCGGTCTCGACGCTGGCACCAGCTGGACTATGTCCTCGTCCGGAGGCGAGAACAGCAGGGCGTGCTAGTGACGGGTCGCCGACGCGTGGATCGACCATCGCCTCGTCATTTCCAAGATGAGAATCTGCCTACAGTCCTAGAGGAGGCCTCAAGGTAAGCGCTCTGCCTGTCCTCGGTCGCGCACGCCGCCAACACCAGGATTGGTTTGACAGCAAGAACGCCGCCATCAGCAACCTGCTCGCCGAGAAAAACCGCCTGCACATAGCCCACCTCAACCGCTCCACTGAGGAAAATAAGGCAGCCTTCTACCGTAAACGCGGCTGTGGGAAATGTTTAGACGGCTTGCATGGTCGGGGAGATCCAAGGCTACACGGACCAAAACGAACGAGAGAACTTCTTCGCCGCGACTAAGGCTGTCTACTGTCCCGCAGCCAAAGGAACTGCTTCTCTTCTCAGCGCCGACGGCGATAACGCATTCACTGAGAGGACGCAAATTCTACAGCAATGGACCGACAACTTCATAGGCGTCCTCAACCGGCCCTCCACCATCTCCGACGCCGGCGTCAACCGTTTGTCTCAGGTGGAGACCAACGCCGACCTCGACCTCCCGCCCGCTCTCCATGAAACCGTCAGGGCCGTGCAGCAGCTCTCTAGCGGGAAAGCGTCCGGATCGGACGCCATCCTTGCTGAGATCAACAAGCACGGCAGTCCCCAACTTATGACTTCCCGACAGCGCTCTTCCAGGAGGTGTGACCTCAAGGATACGTCCCTCAGAATTTCAAGAACGTCACAATCGTCCATCCGTGCAAACGAAAACTAAACCGCCAAATCTCTGACAACCACGGAGGCATCTCCCTCCCCAACATCGCCGGGAATATCACCGCTCGCATCCTACTCAACCGTTTTAACAACCGTCTGGAACAGGGTCTCCTGCCGGAAAGCCAGTGCGCCGTCATCGCAACACCATCGGCATGACCTTCGCCGCCTACCAACTGCAGAAGAAATACCAGGAGATGCGGACTCATATCTTCTCTACCTTCGTGAATCTGACGAAAGCCTTCGACGCGCCACCGCTCAACGTCCTCAATATGCCCACGGTGTCAGCGAATGTCCCAGGCACCAGTCGGTCTTGTACGGCACCTTCGGACCCAATGTGCCAACAACCCGACATCATTTACTTTTTCTCCACAAATCCCGCGTCGGCCGACACCCCTGTCACCGCCGATCACACTGTCTTTGCTCCTCCGCCGTCAACCATTAACATCATCCGACCTGCCCCAACCCCTGCGTACACCACGACCAGCACCAGCAGCTGCAGCAGCAGCAACACAACGACATCACACACTCCCTCCAACAAAGGGGCGACGTCCGACGTCCCGCCACCTTCTACCATCACCACCAGCACTCTCATTCACCGATGTGGACTCGGCTCAGCCCTGTCCTCCTTGCGTTTTTACCTTCGCCTTACACATCAGCCTGGTCGGTCACTTGCGTATCCATTGCACAGAGGTTGGCGAACCGGCGCCTGGAGCACCAACCTACACTCGCCTCATCAACCTCGACTGACCTCACTGGCCCAGCACATTCACCCACTAAATGGGTAAGTTAGCTCACATGTGCATTCATGAAAACCCGAAGTAGACAACCGCCGGCTACACCACAGCATCACATTTCTCCCCACCAGCACCTGCACCACACATCAACCTCACCCATCGCCACGCAACGCTAACACTCAACTGCCACCTCTCAAGAAAATGGGAAGTGTGCCTCTCGGCCGCTTCTCCGTGCGGCTTCTCAGATGCCTGTGCGACCGATTCTGAGCTCATCATGGTGCGCCATGTGCCCTGTCCAGGAAAGCTGCCTACTGACGCCTCAACTCAGTCCCCGCCGACTACTCAGTTGAGTGTGTTTGTGTGGAGTGGTGGGCTGAGAGTCAGACTGCAATGACTCCTTCTTAACGTGACTTCTGGCACTCTCGCGCATGCGAGCAGTTTGTGTTTTATGGGTAGTTCCTCTCAGTCGAGGACTGACTGGTCATCTGACCTTTGAAGTGTGTTGGCCCAGGCTGAGTGCGGGGCTTCGTGGCACCCTTCTGAGCCTTTGGGTTTGTGTTAGTCTGCTCTGCCATGTTTCAGATAACCGTCGCCCTCGCAACCTAGTATGCGCCTGAAGTTCTCTGGCACCTGATTCTCTGCGCTTGTGCTCCTGCCGGTTGTGAAGGTCTTGAACATGTTCGCCCTGTCACCCTCCTCTTTCTGATCCCTTATTTTGCTGTTGCTCTTGATTATAATCCTGATCAAGTGTTTGTTGTGAACCAGGGGTCTGGAATGGTGTGCCTAGGTACGCGTCCGGCCACGCCATCCACCTGTGTCCTCTCTCGCCTACGGTCTTCTTGGCTATGTTTTGACACCGAGTTCAGGTGAGGGAGGGGGGGAGTGCAGTAGATGCTTCGCAAGTCTGCTCCCCCTATAAATTAGTCCACGCGCAAGCCAGCGTTTCTGCTTCACCTTACTGGGGAGAACATGGTGGACATCGTCAGCTACGATGGTCATCTGTATAGCCTGAGTGCGTTCCCATCCACCTGCCTCACCGAAGGAAATAAAAATTTTGTTCTGGAAAGTCAATTTCGGCAGACTTACGCTCTCGAGTATTCATCATCAGACAAAGTAGCAAAGGTTAAACAACCAATAAAATTTATTGTGGAGACGACGGCTGATGGGCGTTCAGAGGTCGGGTTTCAGGGTCTAATTTTGTCAGGGGCTTAGAGTGGGTTGGAAGGCGTGCAACGACTGGCTTTCCTCGTTTCGTCGACGTAACGCGATTCGGCAGGTGCTGTGAACACACGTGCTGGGTTTGTCTTTGTCCAGGAGAGCCTTAGCTTTGAAGAAACGATTTATAGGAGCACAAGGTTGGGTTGACTAACCATACGGTCACTGACTCTGCCGACGCAAGTAGCAGCTGACATAGGAATTCGGAGTGTTTCGCCAGCACTTCATAGGTAACTCGGAATGCCTAGTTGACCTCAACCCGGTGGCCGCGGTCAACCAATTTGGCCAAAGTTGCATTAGATATGGACTTTTCTATGCCTTGACTTGGTCACGCAAGATCGTGTTCTTGCATCCGGTTGGATAGGCGCCTGGTTATTCGGCCAATATGACCTCCCTCACAGGAGCAAGCGAAGGCGCAGATTCACACTGAAAAGATTTAAAAAGACAGTTTATCTTTACCCTGAAGACGAAGGAGTGGAGTGCTTGTGAAAACTAGCCTTATCTTAGTGCCTTGGTAAGTGCGCGCGATAGCAGCGTTTAAGCGACGACGTAAAAGTTTGCTCGCTGAATCCTCTCGAAATGGCAATGTGAGATGCAACTCCATCTCAGCCGTCAGTACTTTAGATTTTGGAGGGCCTTCTTCTGTATATTTGTTGGTAAACTTTTCTGAATGTCCATTTTCTGTCAGAGTGTTTTCTATAAGGGCGAACCCATTCTCAAGCCTATCTGTGGTGCATATTCTCCCAGCTCGGTTTGTGAGGCAGCCGATCAAGCTTCGTTTCTGGCTAAGTAGGACAAAACTGCGAAAATTTGCGTATTGTCCTGTCTATGTTTTTTGAAAATTACACTTCTACTAATTGTTCCATTCAATTAGGTAGGACGTCCAGAAAGGGGAGGTACTCTTCCTTCTCTCTTTCCAAGGTGAAGGTTATCTCTGGATAAGCCTGATTCACTTTATACATAAGGGTGTTCGAATCAAGTTTTCTATCCTTTATGACAGTAATGTCATCAGCATATCGATCATAGGAATAAAGATCCTTCAAAATTGGACCAAGCCGGTTTTTCTCCAGTTTTTCCATAAATACGTCCGCTAATAGAGATTCAACGGAGGGATCCCATCGCTACGCCGTCGAGCTGGCCATAAAATTAACCATTTAGTCCTTATTGGACATTAAGCATGTAGCGAAAGAGCGATTCCCTTAGGTCTCCGACCGGAAGTCCGATTTGTATGTCTTACGGAGTCGATGAATTCAAACGAATCCCCTACGCCAAGTGGCACTATTCTGTGTCACATCGACTTAAACCATGCTACAAACAACTTTGCAATTACGTGATAGGCTGAATTACTCATGTCTAGTATCGGCCGCATCGGAGGGTCTGGTTTAAGAATCTTTGACAAAACATATAGCCTGGCGGACATTGTACCTAATGATTTACAAACTCCGAACTCTTGTTCGCCAAGAAAACTCTAGTCTTTCAATTTCCGAAAACATTTTGTAAGTTGAACTTCTACGCTCTCTGTTTGGTCCGTATTTCACCTCTCTCTTGTGAACCTATTGTCATCAGTCAGGGTCGCCAGTTGTGATGTTCAACAACAGTGACAACGGTAGGACAAGTAAAATTTCCGCCATTACTTGGCACAGAGATAAGATCGTCAGATACAGTCAGGGGTCCGCGTATCATCGATCTCTGCTACTGCTGCTTCTGCTTTGGCACATATTTCCCTACAAACCTTACAGATCCCAAAACTTCCGCTGTCCCTTCTTTGTTCAGCGAAACATCGCCGACAGCAAACCGGAGATGCTGCAGATGCTCCGCTGGCCGACCACGGGCTTGAGTCAAGTTGTCCGCCATCTGCGTGTTTCCTGTTGCAAAAAGGCAAACCTCGTTAGGACCACAGGCCACACGCATCCGGTTGTCTGAACTGGAAACAGACAGCCAGAAAGCATTAGCCAACGACGCTGTATCCAATTCAGAGAAAATCAGGAAACGCAGTGGCCACGCGTTCCTTCCTCTCTCCCCCCCCTTGGTGTGGATTCTGATCAGAGTGCCTACAGTTAACTTTTGTCTAGGCGGCGGCAGAAATAGCGTTGGAGGACAGCGTTTTCGAAAGAGATGCCACCGTCTTCCATTGGGCGGTTATGGTATACACAGACTCGGGTGTTCGACCGTGACAGGCGACGGGGCTCACAACTGCTCCACGAGGTAAACTCAACGTTGACTTACGCTGCGACTACCTCAGTCTCTCTTCCCACGTCTACCATGCTCCGGTAACGAGGCAGAGTCCAGAGGACCAGAAATGGGCGTGAGCACACTGGTCGACAAATTCCCACAGCCCGTCTACGCGTGCCACGCACGACCTGGTCCCTGCGGAATTCTGGCGGGAAAAACATTAGTTTCCTTTCTCTCCCCCCTCTCTTGCCCTCTACATACCCTGGTGATCTGCTGACCTTGTAACTGACGGGTTATGTGACTGACCGCAGACGTCATTTATCCCGCGCCAAACACAGAAGCACAGGCAGTTGCAAATAGTTGACTCTGCCGAGCTCGGAGGTTGTAGTGGTAGTGCCTCTCAGTCGGCGACTGTTTGACTAACCGGCGTTTAAGGGTGATGGCCCAAATTAACGCGGGGTCACGAGTCACCCTAGTGGGCCTAAAGATCTGTAACCGCCTGCTATGCCAGAGGTAGGTAAACATGGCGGTCGCAGCCAAATAAATGTTGACAGTTCTCTGGCATTGTCGCTTTTTAATTTCCTCAGAAATTATCTACGAAGTTGGAGTAGGTCAGTTTATTTAAGGTTTGTAGGCACAGACCGAGAATTTTATACATGAATATTTGGGCCAGAGTCCCTCAGCCACATCGGGTAACCGCGTTATATTCATTAACTTCCGACAGACAGCTAGGCGTATACTTTAGGTGATACCATACTAACAGCACAGGTACTAGCCATACTAACGGGTACCAGCGGTTAGTATGGTATTACCTTACACTAAAATATACTACTAGCTGCCTGTCGGCAGCTAATGAATATTACGCGGTTACCCGCTGTGGCTGATGATCTTTGGCCCAAATACTCATATATAAACCGACAGGACAACGGGCTCGTGGCGCAGTGGGTAGAGGCGTGGACATCTAAACTAACAGGTCGCGAGTTCGAGGCTCGGGTGTTCCACACTTCGGGCTTGCGTATGGCTGGCTGACGACGGCTAACAAGCCAGAAATGGCCATTTCAGTCTCCCTTGTCTTTGTCGGTAATGCCATTCTGCATATATAAAATTCTCGGTCTGTGCCTATAGATCTTGAATAAACTGATCTTCTCCAACTTCGTAGATAATTTTTGAGGAAATTAAAAAGCAGTAATTTGTAAATTGGAGTATTTACCAGAAAAAGCACGGGGAATTCTGGAGGACCCACTGACGAGCCGAACCCCTCGCATCTGCGCCTTGCAGCGACAAAAACATCGGCGAAACACGCGTGTATGGGCTTGGCTAGTACCTGTGCTGTTAGTATAGTTTCACCTTACCCTAAAGTTCTCAGACAACTGGCTCCCTGCTGGTAGATGCGTTTGCGTTCCCGCTTGGGTATGGAGCGTGGCTGCCCGTCATCCTCTTCCTATTGACCTGTCGTTGTTGGTTAAAACCTTGGTCAGTTTTTATATGGACCACACAGTGTGGAGTGGAGCGCCAAGGTCCGGCTCGGCCGCGCCATTCACCAACGTCCTCCCCCGCCTCCGGTCTTCTTAACTCTGCCTTGACACCGGCTCCAGGTGGGGGAGGAGGAGAGAGTGCGGTAGATTCAGCTCAAGTTTACAAGCACTGAAAACTAACTCGCGCGC